GCCTGCCCCAGCCCTGCCTCCCCCCAGGAATGGACCCCACCAGCTCCTGCCCCTTCCAGCAGGAGGGGGAATTTGGGAGCTAGCACATGGCCTGGCTCCGTGTCACCAAGCCCCCGCAGCCACACGTCACTGAAATGCAGCTGCCTCGCAGGTGGAGCACAGCAGCTGTTTGACACGGCACAGCAAGGCCAGCCAAGTCTTAGGGCTGGGACCGGAGCCTGCTCATCTCTGGAGGAGACGGGGGAGGCCGATCGCCACATCCCCCAGGCAGGGACCCGGCCAAGCCCTGAGGGTAACACCCCCAGTCTCACAAAGTGCCCCCAGCTTCCATGCCCACCGACAGGCAGGTTCTCAGCTGCCCATAGGGATGGTGCCACTTCTGGCTGCACTTCTACCCCCAGCTTGGGCTTCTGCCAAGAGAGCTCCCACCCCCCCCAGGGCGGCCTGGCTTGCAGTCTGACACGCGATCCCTGCTGTGGCTGGAGGGGATCCTTGGTCGGCCTGCGCCCATGCCGGCCTGGCACCAGCCCGGGGGGGAAGGGGGGGGGGGGGGGGGAGAGGATAACCCCAGGCCTTTCTCCCACACCAACACTTCCTGTGCTTTGCAGGGAGAGGGCAGGTGGGTCAACGCGCCCTGGGAATCTTCCCAGCAACCACCCCTGGCTGGCCAGTGACTCAGAGCCGGGGGGCTCCCGAGCAGCTCTGTGCCTGCTGGAACTGGAGCCCCTGCAGTGCCAGGGCTAGAACACCCTCAAGAGGAGCGTCCGATCTCTCCTCATCCCCCACACAGACGCTGCATCCTGCACCCCGCTCGCTGCTGGGGCTGTCAGAAGAAGGTAACTGGAGAGGGAAGCATCTACCCTTCGCCACCCTGCAGCCACCGGGTGCCAGGGACTGATGGGGAGATCGCCAGTCTCCTGGCCCTGGGCTGGCCCCCAATCCTGGGGGCTCCCAAGTGTTCACAGGACTAGTTAATTTTCTCTGCATGCCATTCGGAGATCTCCAGCAGAGGGCGCCCACTGGGATGGGAGGGTGGCTAGGCCAGGCCTGGGGGTGACAGAATGACCCCTAACGGCCCGCAGTGCCCGGCAGAACAGAGAGCTCAGTGGGCCTCCCCCCCCAAACTCCCCCAGCCTGCAGCCAGCCCTGCGACGGGCCAGGACGTGCAGCCGGCCTTGCCCCGGGCCCATGCTCGAGGGGGCTGGTCCCACTGTGGAGTCTGCAGACTGCTCATCTTACAGGGGAACTCAGCAGGACTGACCAGCCTGGAGCAGGCCAGAGACTGCGGAGCTGGACTGGGGGAGGCATCAAGGGGCTGGTCCCTGCGGGGGTCGTGGGGGCCAGCCCTGCGACGGGCCAGGACGTGCAGCCGGCCTTGCCCCGGGCCCATGCTCGAGGGGGCTGGTCCCACTGTGGAGTCTGCAGACTGCTCATCTTACAGGGGAACTCAGCAGGACTGACCAGCCTGGAGCAGGCCAGAGACTGCGGAGCTGGACTGGGGGAGGCATCAAGGGGCTGGTCCCTGCGGGGGTCGTGGGGGGCTTGGGTGAGTCAGTAATCTCCCTGTCCTGTTCATTCCCTCTGAAGTATCTGGCACCAGCCACGCCAGAGGCAGGACACCCGCTCAGACAGCGCACCGCCC